CACTGTGCCACAAGCGATATCGGATAATTTACCTCAGATTTTGAAAGCATGTAATATAGCGTTCAAAAGGAATTCTATGCAAACATACAACTGTACTTCATAACAAAATGAGTATATTTTGTTAATGTTTTGATTTTTAATAAGATATTTCTTAATTTGATTATGTCGTCCTTACCCATTTCCTATGCAAGTGCGCGCCAACAGTGCGCTTTCACAGAGAGACTCTGCTGCTCACACGCTGTTCTGCATGTGTGGCATCTCACAGTCGCGTCGCGTCTAGTGTGGACAGACACACTTGCTGTCGCTGGAATTTTATCGCGTCGCGTGTAGTTAGGACACGGTGTGAGGCGCTCTGGCTCCCGGCAAACATGTGACAATTGGTAGCTGGTGTCTCTATTTTCACGTTCCGTATAATAGAATCACCAATAACTAGGGCACATTCAGCAGAATTCACAGTGGGTGTTTCACTGGTTTAATGTTGTATTTGAAACAGAAGAGCGGTGTTTTGTCTCGCGACTACAGCGTTTCACGGTCACCCAGTTGCCCCACTCCACTGGAGTACAGAGTTCACGAAGCTAGTCACATTCAAAGCAGTATCTATAGCCATTGATTTCATATTATCCTTGATTAAAGTTTGGATGTGTGTCTCTAAATCAGAAATCTTCTCCGTCAGCCGGACAATCCTTCCTTGAGTCCTTCCTTCCTGTACTACAGTGCTTGTGCAATTTTTCCACAACCTGTATGCAGGCATCCACTCAAATGGCAGATTCCCATTGCATCAACACTATGACCAGCGTTGATGTTCCTTCAAAAGCGAACTTCTCTGGGTTATACAGTATAACCCTGTTCCCTGAGAATGGGAAAGAGACCCTGTGTCACGGTCACTTAAGACTTTCCTCATGAACTTACAGTAATTGAGATCTCTTCTAATAGAAAGCAGTGCACTGCAGACGGCATTATAAAGATGAGCTCTGCTCTAAGTAAAGAAAGAGAGATAGAGAAAACAGAGGGAAAGTGGCAGATTAAGCTGCATTCCCTGGGGGAACAGGTCTGGGTCTTCAGCTCGATGGGCTAATCATGAAGCCTATCAGGCTATTACAGCATACAGTAACAGGTTCAAGACCTTCGAGACTGCCTCTGATGCATAAAGCTGTGAGTGCCTTTGACAAATATGGCTGCCTGGCTCCGTGTTGATTTTCTAAGACAAATTATCAGGGCAAATCACTCTCTGCGGTGGCGAATTTCATTACACTAGAGCACTTGATTGCTCTTTTTCCGTGCTCATTGAATGTGATCATTGGTAATTAGCACTGGGGTGGCGATAAGTCAGAGCATTTCTGGGAATATGTTTGGACGTGCAAAAGACCGAAAAAAAAATGTGTCTTTGCTCAACTGAATCTCTAATTCGAAACAACTTTGGAAAATCCATCACACGTGCAAAACAAGTATCTAATGTTCTGCATGATTTTAAAAAATCAATAAAGATGCATTTGCACTGTTACTTAAAACGTTTCACAATATGTGTAGAACGGTTCCCTAAACTGAAAGATATAAAAAGTAAAAATGTAAAACACCTGTTTAAACAAAAATCCTAAAATTGTCTTCATATTAACATTACATTGGGCCGTATTTTTTTTTCCAAACTTTTCTTAGAGTTCAGGACTGTCAATGCCTGCAATTAAGCACTGTTATTTTTTTAGTAGTTAACATTTATTTAATTATAGCTTATTGTTTTCTTCTGTGATTTCTCATTCTCACACACACACACACCTAGCGGTGCACTCATTTATTGGCAAATGATGGAGAAAAAAAACCCTCTTTATGGGTGATCTATTTATAAATCAAATATTTAACAAAAGTAAAAGTAATTTACGATCGTGGTATGGTGATTTAATTATGAAAGCTTAACAAGTGAAATACCCAAGAGTGAAATGCTGTCATTATAGCAATGCAAACAGTGGAGGATTGCAGATAAGTGCCATTTTACTCAATGGAGGATGCGGGAAGTGTTTAAAACAGAAGAAGAAACCTGTTTTAAAACTCAATTAAAAGTTTAATCTCCGATATGAACAAGACACGCTTGCCAACTGCTGCCTTAATATCCAAATCAAATCCACTTTTGGGGATTCTGTCTGAAACTGCAGTCCCAAGGTTCATAAATAATATACTCACTATAAACAAAATAATATGCACAAGATTCGTGGAAAGCCCTAAAGCCCCCAGCTGTTTGTATTTGTGTAAATCAGTAACCTTAAAAAGAAATTTCAGCTTTTTCTAATAAATTTTACAAAACTAATAAATAAGGCTGTAACTCAAATCACATAATTCCTGTTTGAGCATGTCAAATAATAAAGCTTAATTGCAAGGTACAGTTGATCTGAAAGAACGTCAATACATATTTGAGAATGCTACACTTTTCAATGTATTAACATGAATCTTTTAGGCATCAGCATTTTTTTTTCTCAGCATACTTCCTCCACTTCTTTGCCTTAAAGGAACAATTTGGGATTCAATCCCCAAACTCAAACAGAAACAGTACTCTCGTTCCTTGCTTTAAGGTAAGACTGCTGATAAGATGGTTCTCCACTATAATCATGGAAAGATGCTTATTTTGCTGTTGGGTTGAAGTAATGACTTAAAGCTTCAGATATGAACAAGCCATAGATGCATAGATGGACACATTCAATAGCCAGTGCATCAGAAAATAAGAGAAGAACCATTGCTATTTCAATGAGTATAAAAATTACGTATGAATGATTTATAATGACCTCAGAGACCTGCTTACTGGGTGGATTGCATAGCTAAAATATTCACTTGCCTCTGGTACAAGCCAAACTAATACAGCAGAGATGTTAGTGTTAGTTTTACATCAAAATTGCATGGAAGTAGTGTGCAATTTTTACACTATTCACTCTAGTTTTACACAATTCCTGCATAATACCTTTTCATGGTGCTGCACTAGGGACTTTATGTCAGAACTGTTTACTGGGCTGACTGTACCAGTGTTTGCTGATTTATGTGTCCGGGTTGTGATGAGGGATTGGGCTCAGTCTCTCCAATGTAAAAAAAAAATATTTTCAATGTTCATCATTCCACTACTGCCAACAGAGGTCACTGCCCTGTCCTCCAATTCCTTGCTAGACCATACAAAATGGGACGTGAGTCCTGTGCTTTTAAATTAATTAGTGCTATTATATATATATATTAAGGAAACTGAATGTGGCTGAGTATTACTGGACAAATAAAGGCAGGTGGATATATAATCGTGTACAGTTTTTCAGATGTGATCCTCTTTTCAATCACACTTTTGCACACTCATCTGTCACAAGAATATTACTCACACGCTCACATACTGTACATGCACAGCAGGGTTGGTTTGCCATGGTTTGAATTAGATTTTAAATTTTAAAATCATAAAGAAGATTCAAGAACACAAGCTGAATTTAAGGAAGTAGAATAAAAATGAAATGAATGGATACAATTGGAGTAATATAAAATTCATATAATTAATAATTTAACTAGAAAGTTCATTACATCACTGTGGTAACATTCAAGACCCAGTTAAAAACATGTTTTTAACGTGCATTAGGATAATGTGATTATATGTGGCTAATGTATGTGGGTGTTTAATGTATTGTATGTACAATGTAAACCTTGAGCCTCTGGAAAGGTGCTATATAAATAAAACTTCATCTTCTTCTTCATTATGAACATTGGCTTATTTAAAGGTTCTTTTTTTAAAAAAACAAAATGGCAGTTTTATAGTGTATGTCTAACATATAGACTCACAGTTATAGACTGAACTATTTAGACCTATGCAGACAGACAGACAGACAGACAAATTAAATTTAAATATAGGCTAATGTCAAATCAGAATTGTTTATAGTTGTACTGCAATTTAAATGGTTAGGTTGACCGTTATTATAACTAGGCTAATTAAACAGGTTTTCTTTAACATCTTTATGTTTTTATATAAGGTAGGGCATACTTTTAAATTAAAACATATGAAACAACTGAAATTTGTATTTAATTTCTATAGTATATAGTTCATCGCAAAAATTAACTTTTAATTTTATTGACTAATTCCAATTCAATACATTTCTTGCTGTCAATTCAATTTCCTGTGGGGCGTGGTCAAATTCAATTAAATTTTGCAAACACACACTTACTTACTCAATCACCCACAACATCTCCATCCACTCAAACACTGTCTGTATTTCTCGGTATTTCTCAGTCCGTCCAAACACACAGCAGAAGTGATTACCTTCGGATAGGATAGGACAGCAGAATACTGAGCACTCACGTTCTCTGCAGCATTCAACACCCTGACGTCCAGCAGAGGACAACAAAATGACCGGCTCGGGGGGAGGAGTAGCCTACGATAAAACAGACAAAAAAACCTCAAGAGTTTGAATTGAAACGCTCTCATAACTCACCTTTTCACCTTGCGCCAGTTAAACCCAATTGGGATTGATAAAAAATTAACTATTTGTAAAAAAAAAAAAAAATGACTTTGCGTTTTGTGTTCTGTGTAACACAATGGCAGAAAATATCCGTTATAAAGGGAAGGTTAGAGAATAATTTAGTTTTGATTAATATCGAGCATTTTGATATCTCTGTTGCCTCTCCTTTTAGGCGGCTAGGCGCTAGTTGCGTCTCTGGGGTCTTTAAGGGGGGGAAAAGCGGAACGTTCCAAGTTGGGGCTAAAGGACGGGAGGAGGCGTGAGAAAGCCTACTATAATAAGCATGTTGATTACATAGTGATACGCCACCGGTGCGTGCCGTGAACCTCCGCTTTTAAAACAGTCCTGCATCCTTCCACAACGGCAAGTTTAGCATTCAACACGTGTCGCGTGAGTGATGAAGAGAGAGAGAGAGAGGTTGCTAGGTGACGGGGCGTATATACTGAATTTTAACAAAATAACTGGAGAGAGAGACTGAGTGAGTGAGTGAGAAAGATACGGGAGGGGGGAGGTAAGGAGGGTGGGAGAGAGCTAGTCAGCAACATGTAGGCAGGCTGAGTAAAGAGAGGTCGAGACTGTGTGTACGTACAATTTCTTTTTCTTTTTTTTCGTTTTACCTCAGAGAAACATACCGGGTTGGAACGTCGTGAAAATGGGCAGCTCTGGAATGGATATACAAGTGACGAAGTGCCGCAGGGAGAACAGAGTGTCTGGATCCTGAAAAAAAAAAAAAAAACAGTGAGTATGCTGTTTTTCTTTCTTGTGTGGTGTTTGGTGAAGTCCTTAACGGATTTTTGCCCTTCAAATCGGCAAAAGATGACAAGCACGAGACGCGCTTATGCGGCAGCGCCTGAACGCTCCTGCATCTCGCGCGCATATCCACTTGATGGATAGGAGACAACCGGCCGGTGCGCGAGGGGTTTGACCCCTCTGTCATTGATGCGCGTGCACATAACGCAAGGTCTCTCTCTCTCTTCTAAACCGACTATCAACCAGACACCCTAAACCCATGTAGGATAGTAGTGACTTTTACCCTATGTGCTCGCGAATAGGGTCTCAACTTTACCTCACTAACAAGGGTAGAGCCTTCCTTAGGGAGAGCAGCAGGAGAGCACGTATGTAAAGCCATTCCGTATTACACTACAGTGTTGTGTGTGACAAGTGGTCGCGCGAATTTCATTGACAGACTCATGTAAAATAGTGTTATATTTTTCCTGTTATTGTTTTTTTTACCTTACATGTAAACCGGCGTTTTAATGCAGACATTCGTTTCTCTTTGTGTGTGTGTGTGTGTGTTTAGTTCGATCAAACGATAAATCAGTTTTCGTCATATTGTGTGTAGCCGCAAGTGCACAAATATGCCTACATTTCAAGGATTTAACGTGGTTTTCCTCATATAATACACACAAATTATGTAATTTCTGTTACTCAGAATAATATAGCTAGTTTGTTTTTAGAAGTGTAGCATATAAAAAAAATCAAATACATTTATTAGGTCTGAAATATCAGAGCCAGTGTGCTTAGTTCAGTAATTGAGGTGCCTTCTTTCTTAGCTCAGATTGCCTCCTTTTGTGTGCCACTTGTTACTGGGCAATCAAGATCCACGGATCTCCGGCTATTAGGAGGAATAAGCTGATTTTTTTTTTATTGTTCCTTGGGCTTTAACATTGCTGCAAATGTCAGAATGCTTTGAATGCTGTGAATTGCATATTTGAGTTGTAGATTCAATTAATTTTAATGTGGCTGCCGTTCTACTTGTTTTCTTATCGTGTCGGCCAGCTCTCAATGCCAAGGTATTATGGGTAGGCTGCTCAGTGTATTTGACAGCTCTTCACTAAGCCCTCAGCCATCTCCTAGCTAAATGTTCAAGTTGTGCAGGTGACCTGCCTGAGACATTGGAGTTAGTTTGACAGTCCTAAGATTTCCTATGGGAAGCCAGGTTTTTGCTGGAGCCACCTAAAGGCTCATCTGACAGGTCTGAAGGTGGCAGAAAGGTACACAGTTTGGGCTGTCTCAGAGATTGCAGCTGCTTCAAAGTCCTCCCCGGGTTACAGTTGTTGACTCCAAGAACCACCCACCATATAAACACACACATACACAAATAAATAAATAAAAAAACAACCTCACTTGCTTCAGTTGAAGCAGCACAGCTTGAGAGGGCATTTTGGGATGACTGCCCAACAGGAAGCCGGCCTAGAGGTCTTGAAAAGGCACATCCCAAGGAGAAAGCGAGAGAGAAGCCAAATTGCGTCCTGTTTCCCCTCGCCTTTTCAAGCCCCCTCCCTACGGGTTTCAGTGTTTGCCAGACCCCAGCTGTTCTGAGGAGCCACCTCCTACATCCAACCATGTCATGTCTATGCATCAGAGCTGTGTTACATCACCCCATGTACAAGACTGAGACTGAATCACAAGACTTCAAAGAAGTTCAAATTTTACTACATTATCCAATGTCATAGAATGATTGCCCTATTGTGTGCGGTTGGGCGATATCCAAATATGAAGTAGGCTACAGTCTGTAGTGTACTGAATGGGGATAACATATTTTTACATATTAGAAAAATAAATGAATTCAAATGAATTCATTTGTGTGGTGATTTGATTGTGTGATGAAGTGCTGTGCTGGATTAGCCTAGGGTGTGGATACTCTTTTCAAGGCCCTTTAGACAGAACGCACCTGTATTTGCCTCCAGTCGATAGTATTTTAATATCGGATTCGGTCACGCAATAGATTTTAATACCTGAAAACCCTCCAGAAGGACTTTCTTTGCCCTTTAAACTTAATTAAATGTCAAAAAAAGAGATATAGTTAAGCAATTAGTCTCTCTATAGTCCAAATCGCATCTCAACAGGTGTCCAAAAATGGGCTCCTATAAAACGACAGACACTGAATATTTCGATATTAACTTTTTAATCAGTGGGATGAGACAGGCAAACGACCAGAGCCGTTAAAGGCTCATCAAACCCTTTTACCATGGTACAGTTTAAATAACCCCTTCTGTTCTGTCTGAAGCTCATAGGGATGGAGCTGAATCTAAATGAAGAAGATTGTAGCAGCCGACGTTACTTTCCCATGGTACCATAGGATTTGTCAACATCACTATGCGAAGTGAGACTTAAATCTTGACAGTGTAGCTTCTCTGAGAACTAGAGTGCTAATGATTTTCAGCAGCTCCGCATCCCGCTTTTCCTGTTCTTCTCCTTGATGGTTCGTATTTGTTGATGTTGTCTTCTCACTGCTCGGCAGTGAGATCACTGGGAGGAACAACTCTGACACTGGCTGTATCTAGAAATAGCAGGCATTTTACTTTTTAAAAAACTCTGTGTATGCTAACGGGAAAGACGCTGAAGCAGCAAAACTGCTAACTTTGAAGCACATAAAGACATATGCTTTGTGCGAGGGACATTTATTTATGTCTGTGATCTATTTTTACCTAGGTATTGATGTCTAGGGCCCGGCCCATTGTGAAATTGAGGAGATTTGTCTTTCTTTCATATGATTTCAGTATTATGAAGCCCCAAGGAAAGCAGTCATTGACCATTTGCGGCTAATGAGAATAAATGTAGTTAAGTCAGTGATATTCTGTTCAGTGTGATGAACCAAACTCCTTTGGGAGCCCTAATTTTGCACGTGTAGCGTTTAAATAATGGAAGCCACTGTTTCGATGACAATTCACCTTCTCTTTTATTTCTACCTTTGTTTATAAATTCCTGTCCCCGGACAATTTTAGTGCTGCTCAAACTCCCAGGATACTCTCAGAAAACAATAGATTCGTCTTTCGATCCAACTTCATGTCAAAACAGGGTTTCGGCTCTTCCGCAAGGTCGACCTCAAAGGCATGTGACAGGAAGTCAATGATGCAACGAAGCCACAATTCCAAATAGCTTAAGCCTTCCATCATTTTTACGCTACACTCTCAGTGACAATCTTCTGATTGCCGCAGAAAGTGCATATATCACCATGTTGAATAACATTTAATCAAACCCATTATTATTATTATTGAACTGAAAATAGGAAATTAAACATTTTATGAGGAAATGAGCATATTATCTAACCTCTTTGTTCAATTTGTCATCTACTATTTCAGCTTTCCTTCTAGCTGTTCGATCTCCTCCTTTTGCTTTATTTGGCTGTGAAAACACTCAGACCCCCTGCTTATACTGTGACAGAGTGACATGATATTTAAACACAATCTCTCCCAATGCGCAACAGACATTTTCTGTCTAATGGTCCTGCACTAGGCTGCCTGGCAGCCAGCATCGTTCCACATGCTCTCTCCCGCCGGTCTTTTCTCCGCCCCCTGAAGAATCTCACCCGAACCCAGATGCGCTCTGATCACTGTGAATTAATAACTCCACACTTTCTTTTCTACCAGCAGAGACTCCCCATATGTGTTTATTCATCTGATTTTCAGTTCGATTGCAGCAAGCACACTACCCTCATGTGCTGGCTTAGTATGAACTTGATGCTCGTTGAGATTTGTCCTTAATTTGTACCCTTTTGGTCAAGCTGTAACCCCCCCCCCCCCCCCCGTTCTCGAGTGATATGTGGTCGAATGATGTCTTTGTCTTTCGACTGCTTGATTGCTCATCTAAATAAGTACCTTAGTGAAAAGGGAACAAGGGTGAACCGCTATTTCGCACTCTGTTAACATGGGGGCTTGAAATCAGCCGTAAATTACCCTTGCTTATCGGGCAGGCGTGAATGTTTTTCTTTTTTTTTTCTGTCTCTCTCTCTCTCTCTCTCTCTCGCTCAGGCCATTGATTGTAAATTCTTCTTTGTTCCAATGTAAACCGACAATTTTATCTGTGCACTTGAAGTCTTAGCTGTGGAGTCCAGAGCCTCTGAAAGTTAAGCTAGCCAAGCTCATCCTGGGTTCGATTTAATCTGACATGATGTCTTGTGGGTGCGGGCGGATGGCAGGGTGGAGTTTGCAGGGATTCCCTCCTTCTCTTTCCCCTGAGTGAGACAGACAGAAACCGGCTCCCCGCGAGCTTCCGAAATTAAATCTCAGGGGTCTCCACAGATGGGATTTTCAATGCAGGGCAATATGGCTTGCTGCTGCCACTGTCACTTTTACTCTTTGGTGCTCCACTCTCTCCTCCCTCCCCCTGGATATAATTCAAATTAAGCTCCTCACCTTTGCAAATTTTTTTTTGTCTGAGTTTTTCAGCCTTTTCTTTATTTTGTATCTCATGTAGGAGTTATTAATTAACCATAGATTTATGGCAAGAGGCATCTTTGTTTTGGATAGTGCTGTTTTCTTTCACCAGTTGATAAATATGTTGTTTGATATACATCCAAAGAAAGACTTCAATAGGACATTTTTCTTGCATGACGGTGCGGGTATTTTCCCACTGGTTAATCGACGTGTGATTAATCAACCAGTGGTAGAAAGAGTACTAAAAAAGTGTACTCAAGTAAAAGTATTGCTTAAGTAATAATTTATTTGAGTACAATTAGAAGTACTAAATAATAATTTGACTCAAGAGTAAATAAGTAGTTTGCTTAAAAACTACTCAAGTTACAAAGTACCTATTACATAGTATTATTTTTCTATTTTTACCCTAAATGAGGTTATGACCGCAATATGGAGCGTTAAACAATTTCGTACAAAATTTGCTTCATACATTTAGTTTTTCACACTTTACCATTAAACTCAACTGTGCACATGCAATAACTGCGTCCTTCTTTGAGCTGAGTTTTCTATTTACTTCAACTGTTAACTGTATGTTAGTAT